AAAAAAAAAAAAAAAAAAAAGCTTGGTAACATGAAAAACAGAAGATGATATCTTGCCAGTGTTGTCCGTAGTATTGTAAATCTCCCCACCCCCACCCCCAGTTCTGGGAATCAAACTCAGGGCCTTCTGCTTGCCAGGCAGGCACAGCCCCACTGAGCTAAATCCCTGGCCCAATACCAGGAATCTTAAGAACATACTTTACATAGTGCTACTAATTTCTAACTTCTACAAATTTGTGTTTGTGTGTGTGTGTGCCAGGAATCAAATTCAGTGCCTCGTGTTTTCCAGGAAGGCATTGTACTGCTGAGCTACATACCTGGCCCTAACTTCTACAATTTAACAACTACTCTTTTTATGATTTCTTGGGGTGATCAATAGGTATAAAAACAATTATTTTATGTTTTTAAATCAGGAAAGTTATACAATAATAGTAAAGTTTTATAATTATTGTGGTAAATGAGGAGAAATGTACAATTTTTGTCCTAAGCAAATATACAGTCTGGACAGGTTAACATCCATTGAAATATAGCAGAATGTTCATCTATAATGAGTTCTGTAGCTGTGCTAATAGCCACATCAAGTACTTCTATTTGTTTAATATCTTTTTGCAATGTTCACTAATTCACATGGAAATTATAGTGAAACTATTCCCTATAAATAGGACATTTGGAACAGTTCTTTTTTTATACATACGTACATTAAAAAAAGATAGATGTTTCCTTTTACTCTCCAAAAAAGAATCTCTAGCTTCACTCAATAAAAGGTAGCAAATTTACTCAAGCACACTGGCAAACTGCTTAAACATTTAACATGTGGGCCGCTTCCTGACTTTGTGGGTGGGCACAGCTTCTGGCTCTCAGGGTTTGGAAAGGGCTCTTCTGTCTTCTACATCCAGTTCTACACATGCTTTAGATTTGTCTAGCAGCCACTGAATATATTCCTGGCCCCAGATGAATTCCAATTAATTTTTTTATATTTTCAAAAGTGATTTTTTTTCACTTGTTTCTCAGGAGAGATACATTAATTAAAAGAGTATAACTAATACTGAACATAGTATTCCTTTAAATTTTACATTTGACCCTTTCTCCTTATTCCAGAGTCCACATTCACAGGACAGCAAGAGGAGAAAGCGAGGTCTGCTGGTATGAGGGGAAATAAATACTCTGTTTATTTGACTAAAAGGAAAGTTAATTTGTGAAGCTTA